ACGAATTTGCTCACGCGGTACTCAGGCTTTCCAGGCCACTGTCACCGAGACAATCAATTCAGACTGCGCCCTCCCCCATGCGCCCATCGCACCGATTTCCAATGGGATGAAAGACCCAGCGCTTCACCTGTGCAGCTTCCTCCCTTCCACGGTCTTCAAGAACTCCTTCTCTTCCGGAGCCGCACCCGGGTCGTCTCCCCGGTCGGCCAGCCGTCTTCGGGCAGCTGTACGACTGAAGCTAAACGAAATTGGGGCAGTAGAGGGTCCCGCCGGCCGCGAAACACCATCTTCAGACTCCGCCATCTTGCTCCTCTTCCCAGGCCCGCGCGCTGCTTGCTGGGAAGTTTAGTTTGGGCTCAGTTTGCCGGTGGCCGGAGGACGGGCGCTAGAACTACCTTTCCCATGAAGCACTGCGGCATCGACAGGCGAATAAGGGGCCGTGGGAAGTAATTGCGGCTCTTTTACTTCAGAGATGCTCTTAGCGCCAAGCATGCTGGGAAATTTAATTCCTCCGGGAGCTAATGGTGCTAAGAGGTGGTGTAGGCATTTATCGAGTATTTATTGATCGCCTACTGTGTACATGTTACTGTGCCCTACTGGCACGGAAAGTGTAGGTAAGATAGATAAATAAGGGGGAAAAATCTGTGAATGCCAGTTGTGTAAAATAATACAAAATAGACATGTAAATAATGCCCACCGATTTTCTCTCTGTGGTTTCAGTTCCATGGGCCAAAGATATTAAAAAAATAGCCCCGACCGGAGGTTAGAGCGTCGGCCTGCGCAAAGAAGGTTCCCATTCAAGGGCACATGCCCTGGTTGCAGGCTCCATCCCTAGTAGGGGGCAATGATTCTCTCTCATCATTGATGTTTCTGTCTCTCCCTCTCCCTTCCTCTCTGAAATCAATAAAAATGTAAAATAATAATAAAATAAATAAAATAGACCCCCCTCTTCTTTAGAGGCTTACAGTCCAGTGGAGAACAATGACACGCAAGTCCTTGGGGTGCAGGCCCATTGTACCCCCCCCCCACCCGCCCCGCAACCGCACACCAGCGCCACGACCTCGACCGCGGCTCTGGCCGCCAGGGGGCGCCAGGAGCTGCCTGGCGCTGGGGCCCACAGGCTGGGGAGCGCGGCGGCCTGTTCCGGACGGGCGGGGGAGAACGGGTCAGCGAGACCCCGAGCCTCGGCGAACCCCCACACTCCCCGACGTCCGAAGACCTAGAAGGCCCCTCAGGATCCCCGGAGCCGCCCCCCCCTCCCGCGGGAGTTCCGGAGGTCGCCGACTGTCTCCCTCTTATCCCTCGCCCCACCCAGGCGGGGAGGGGCCCCTCCTCGGGGGATCCCCGGAGCTCCCGCTTGAACCTCTAAACGCAGTAAGAATAAATGCAAGTGGGAAGTCTGTTTATGCGAGGGAGGGGAGCCAGGCGGGGGCCGCGGCCCATCCAAAGCCAATAAATCTCAATGCTTCCGTGGGAGAGGGAAATGGTTATCTCATGATCGCAGTGCCAGGGCGAAACCCTCTCCGAGCCAGAGTATTTGGGTTGATGATTTATGTCCCGGAGGGATCGCTATTTAGCGAAATGGCAGATAATGATGAATAGAAAGGGAATGTGAAGAGCGGCGAGGGATGGCGCGCTGCAGCCGGAACGGAGCGGCGGATACACCGCCCTGAAGCGCAGGCCGCAGATGATGGCCGTGACCCTGAAGCCG